GCATTTCAAATTTTCAGTGAACACAGCTTTTTGTGAATATAATACAAAACATCCAACTCTATCACATCCAGTAGAATCGGTAGAATTTCTTTTCCCAGTTGTGAATGGCAAATCAGATATTTGGTTATAAAGAGATGAAAAGAGAATCTTTACTGAAACTGGTTAAACAGCCTAAATCAGAGATACAGCTCTCTCAGCTGCCTGTAATATAAAATACCTATTGCAATGCAAATATTAAAAAAAAAAAAAAAATGATGAGCACTTACACCAAACATTTGTCTAAGATCTGGATCCCGGAATCTGAATGGTATATTTGAGACGTGAAGCCGTTTTGGCTGTGATTTGTTTTCTGTGTTTTCAGAAGGTTGTGTCTGTTGCTGGCCATCGGTCTGTGCTGCATCATCTGTCTGCTAAAAGGGCAAAGCAAATAAAGAACACTGTAAGTATTTCTGGCATTTTTAATACGAGCTTGTGGGCTTCAAATCTCAAAAAAAACCTGACTAAAAAGCAGTTAAATCTGCCCAAAGGTACTGATGAACCGCAGAAATGTAAGTACATTAAAATCAGACATTTTCAGTATTTGGAATAAACTGGATAATAACAAGTAGATTATTATTTAATAACAAGGAGATTATTATTTCTTCATTTTCTTAGCTATTTTAAAATAATGAATACATTTGTCTCTCTATATCATAAGACTGTTCAAACTCCTTTAACCACATCCACATTTTGCCAAAGGAAGAAAGTGAATCTCCATGTCCAAGCACAGCCTACTTGCAGAAGCCATACACTTTCAAATCAGATTAGTACTTTCATTCAGAGGCCACTGGGACTTCTCCACAGGAGGCAGGTAACACATCACGTCCTAGTTGCCATTTCCTAAGCAGTGCTGATGGGCACTAGAGGGTCATTTTGTCTAGATAAATGGTGACCATTATGGAAAAGGCCTTGAGTTGTGAGAGGGAACAGAAGTTTAATCAGTGGTGAAGGTTGCCTGACAGGAAAGCGAGACCCAGAAACAAAGTTCTACAGATTTTCTTTCCCACCAAAATGAGATTATGTCATGGGACTTCTTACAGGGACACTGCTCCCTGGGTTTAACATGCTCTTTTATAATTGAAGGACGTTGCTGTGTAATACAATTTAAGAAACAAATTATAAATCCCCTGAGAGATTAGGAAAAAAACCATCATGTCCTTCATCCAAAAAGTAAAACTAACCAATGCTGGTCCATCAGCATGTTAAATTTCTCATCTGTGTTCTTTCATTATATCCTACAGGGCCTAATTAATCACTGCCTGCACAGCACACAGTCACTAGAAGATTTTGCATACGTATGTAAAAACAGCACAGTCATATTCTCTTGCATGGGTTGAAGGGATTTGGAAGAATAGAAGGGGAAAGAAAATAGCTGAATGAAACTACAAGAATAATCTTGCAACCATTATTTTATTTTCCCTGTCCTTCCTCTTCCTTCTTACCCCATTCTTTTTCCAAGTATTCATTTTTCTTGTGTTCTAATATTACATTTCAGTTTGTCTTGCTGACCTTTTTCGTTTAAAAAAAGGAAAAAGAAGGAATTGCCCATTTCCTGCTAGTATGAAATTTCATTTAAGAGACAACAGTTTAAGCTACATAAAAAAGGTTAAATAAAATAAACCTTACCACACAGTTTTAGTACCAATAAGCCTGTTGAAGAAGAAGCAGAAGAACTCAAACAGAATACAACATTTACATCAGCAATAACTACATACAAATTGAATTCTAGCAAGTTCAATTCAACATCATCTTCCCCAGGAAATACAAATGTTCTCAAATTAGAAGTACAAACATCTATATTGCCTCCACTTCTGTGCTTAGAACACTTTACAAATAAAATTCCTCATCATTCCTGCAGCAGCTTCAGTCCATCAGCAGCATCTACATTTCATGAGACATGATGAGACTCACACAAACACAAACTTCTGCATGCACTGTAAAAGGATTTTCAAGTGATCCAAACAAATAACTGGGATCAGTTCAAATGCAAACCTAAAACTGAGTCAATGCCACCACATGTCATTTGCTACTCCCTGAACTCACAGGCAGAGTCTCACCACATAAATCATTCACTGTACAAATTTTTAGTGACTTAAATACTAAACTTGGGATAGAGCTGTTATGAGACAAAAATGTTCCACACAAATCTATGATATCTGAAATCACCTCCAAAATTCAGATTTCTAGGCAACTGTTCCATCATAGACACCACAGAGATTACTCTCTACCTTCAGGCCATAAAAAGAGAGAAATATGAAGAAACTTTGGTATATGAGAGCAGCTGGGGGATGAGAGACTGGAAACTCTAGAAATGCAACACTCCAAAAGAATTTAAGGTCAATTAGATTAATCTGAAGAGAATTAAAGAATTCTGAAGGTGCTGTTTAGCTTCAGGAACAAAGGGTGCCCCGGGAAGAAATTATATAATCAGCATCCTGTATAAATGCAAATTGGAAAAAGTAATTTCTGCTCATTGTGTTAATATAAATGATGAGAAAGGAGGAGTAGGAGGGCTGAACTGGGCACCATTAGCATACCAAAACACTGGGAGCAACTTCTCTACCAAAAGGCTGAAGAGATATATTGTCAACAAAGCCCAGTGAGGTTTCTGAAGATGACATTAAAATGAAGGAGCTACAAATTATGGGGCAAGTGGGTAAATCCAGGTCCTGTTATTTTCTTGTCTCCTGTTAACTTCTTTTTTTTTTTTTTGTTTCCTTGGGTTTTTTAGCATTTTTATTCTAAGCTTCAAATTTACACTTTCAGCAGAGAATGTCTCAGAGTTTGGGCAGTGAACACTGAAAAAGAGAAACTTTGGAAAGACACTATCAACAACAATTCCAAACTGTACATGACCTGCAAGATCCCTGTGGCAGAATTAACAGAGCTAAACCATTTCAAACCTGTTAAAAGGCTTGGCAATAGAACAGCCTCTTTACAAAGCATATTAGCATCCAGAAATCTACGGGTGTGCCTAGGATATCAGGAGAAGGATAACTGCAAATTGAAATTGGAACGTGAAGATTAGACACAAATTTCCCAGTAACACCAAGGAGGTAAAACACACGTAGGTTAGAGGACAGACTGGATTTTGCAGATTCCCAGACAGGCAAGTTTCAGAGCTCTGTGGACTCAAAAGGCTAGAATGCAATTTACCTTACACATACATAATACATTTCAAGAGAATATTTTCACTGCTAGAGGACCTGGAGACTGGTGTTTGATATTTCTTTAAAAATTAATTGAAGTTAGTATATGGCATTATCCTTACCACATCCCTGCAGTCTGGCATGCAATCAGGCTGCTTTCCTGCTTCCTCTCCCACCACAGATTTGCAATTATAAAATATTAAAGAAGCTTAATATAGGATAGTCTTAAAACTGATAATGAAAATTGTAAATACAGAATGCAGAAATAGAAGACCAAATTCTCACTTCCAGAGAAATACATGGAGATAAACTCCCTTTACTTCAGTGAGTTACTAAAGGTTTTTGGTGTGAGCAGAAATTAAAACTGAAACCATATCAGAGAGAATATTTCAGAAAATGATTTTTTTCATATAAGATACAGTATAGATATGTGGTATAATTTAAAACCAAATCATCATCAGGAGAGTTAAAATCTATTGTTTTCTAAAAAAATTCTTGGTGTTTACCAAAATGCTTTCCTGTATGTTTGTTTCCTTAACTCAAACAGAAACTTCAATTGGTTTTAAGACTTCAATCAAGTTCTGAAAGACTTGACACTGGAAGCAAAATTCTTGAAGTAATTTTTCTGGTTTCGTTTTCTAGCTTTTTCCTGAGAATTAAAAGAAATTAGGCAAGTGAAGAAAACTATTAAAAATGTTTGTCTGGATAAAATAAATATGAAAGTTTTCTATTGGGAGAAAACACTGTCTCCACACACCACCATGCCTTTTTGTAATGCTTTTCTAATCCAAATTTGCAGTATATTTCACTCAAAAATACATTCTAAAACCTTCATCCAGCTCTAATGCAAACCCATTCCCCAGGTTTCTCCTGAGTGGCCACGGGAGTCTCATCTCCCATCTTTAGCACTTGTGGCAAAGGCACCACATGCAATAAAACAATGATCAGTGAACCTGAAATCAGAGAGGGCCTTGTGTACACCATTTGGGCAGAAAAACCCATTCCATTCTCCTTCCCAGCTAATACAAATTTTCTGTATCCCCTTCCATCCATCACTGAAGACAGTTGGCCCTGTAATGTTTCTCACACTGGAATTGTAAGTGTTACACTTTCCCTCCATTCTTTCCCACTGACTAATCTCTTTCATTTTCTACAAAACAATGCTATAGACAAAATCTTTCCCCTCAAACCCTGTTCTCACTGTAATGAAATGCTGTCACAGAAGAGCTGTTTGCACGTTAGTACAAAAAGAATGCTGTCCTCAATCTCAGCTTTTACAGAGTGAACGGAACACAAACAGTAGGAATGCCTAAAATGGAACTAAACCTTTTATCTCTTCCTGGACAAACTGAAAATATGTTGTATTAGAAGAACATGAAAAAGCTTTACCAGGTCCTGATCATTCTTCTATAATCTGTAAACAAATACAAATCAGTTACAGATCTTTTCAAACCACGCCAAGTCTAGAGGAAGAACAGGCTAATTCTAGCAGGAATAACCTGTAAAATATTTACAGCAAGAAAAGAAAGAGGAGGGGGAAAAAAGCAATAGATTATCTTGTTAAATGCACTCGATGGTAAACTTAAGTGCTATGCTGAGTGTCTCATGTATACATAGTAGCATAGGGCAAAGCTCTTCAGAATTTTAAATTGAGAAAAAAAAAACTCATTAAATTTTAAAAAAATGCTCAAAACAGCACCTGTTTTTTCCGGCTGCACCAATCAAGTTATTTCTCAGAGAGAAAGAGCTTGTGAATGTCTTCTAGGCATTATTTGATTAAGTTGACAATATTATGTGAGCAATGGTTGAGTACCCACTGTGCTGTACTTTTGACCAAATTGATTTGTGTAATGAACACTTGCTCTGTCTCTTCTCTAGCCTGAATAGGGCTCTTGATTTAACCAGTGGTGCTGGAAGCCAAGTGAATTTACAGCCCCCACAGTCATTCTCTCTCAATCTGGAGAGAATAGCAGCAGCAGTACATGAGCAAGCATAATTCAATACATTGTGCTATAAGCGCAGAAAATAATATCAGAGCTCTGCAATATACCTGTTTGATTTGATTTGTAAACCCGATAAAAAAAGCAATCGAGAAAAGTTCAGCAGAAAAAAAAATATATATTCGTCCTGAGCAAAAATATAACCACGCTGAATGTGTACAAACTGCAAAAATCATGCATAGTAAAACAACTTCCTACTTCCCTTCGATAATATTACACAGG